GAGCGGCGGGCGAGCCAGCGTCACTGCCTGACCTCCACCTCCTGTCAGACCAGTGGTGGCATCAGATCCTCATAGGAGCACAAATCCCACTGCGAACTGCACACGCCAGGGCTGCAGGCTGTACACTCCTTACGAGAATCTAATGCCTCATGATCTGAAATGGAACGGTTTCCTCCTGAAACCACGCCCCCTACTCCACCATCCGTGGAAAAACTGTCTTCCACGAAACCAGCCCCTGGTGCCAAACAAGGATGGGGGCCACCGTCTCATTGAATCTACCTTATGGATTCATTCACGCTGAATTCACGGCCAGCAGCACCAGAGCTCACGCCTGAGTGGAGTTTCTCGAATTTTCTCTGAAAGGCACATCACAGCCTTCTTCCACTTAGGAACACCAGACAGAACGTCGGCACCACATTTAGGCGCCATGTTAAACCGTAAATTCGCCCACAGAAAGCACAACGATGTGGAAAATGGCATTAAGCACACGGCAGGAAAGGCGCTTGCTCGCAGTAAAAGGGCTGAGAGACGAGACAGAGCAGCACCTTGTCCCACCTCAGCTGGAAATGCACTCAGGTAACTCACCTTCGCTGCCACGCTACACACATCTGCTGGCACCTGACCATAAAAGTGTCGCGAGTTCTGATTTGAGGTTTCAAATACATTTTAGCAAGCAGGCAACTCCCCAGTACAGAATCCACAAATAATGAGGACTGAGTGCACGTGACACACAAACACAAGAGAGAACACCTCACGGCCAGGCAGCGCGCTTATTCCACCGTGCAGTTAATTTAACATTTGAAAATCAATGTATGCGACAGGCACGGTGGCTCACGCCTGTAATCCCAGCGCTTTGGGAGGCCGAGGCGGGTGCGTCACCTGAGGTCGGGAGCTTGAGACCAGCTTGGCTAACATGGTGAAACCCCATCTCTGCTAAAAATACAAAAATTAGCCAGGCGTGGTGGCGGGTGCCTGTAATTCCAGTTACTCGGGAGGCTGAGGCAGGAGAACTGCTTGAGCCCAGGAGGCACAGGTTGCAGTGAGCTGAGATTACACCACTGCACTCCAGCCTGGGCAACAGAGCAAGACTCCACCTCAAAAAAAAAAAAAGATTAACACTTGTCGGTTGCCAAAAAAATAAGTTTTAATCTTAAAACTTACACAGATATGTGGCCGGGCACAGTGGCTCATGCCTGTAATCCCAGCACTTTGGGAGGCTGAGGCAGGAGGATCACCTGAGGTCAGGAGTTCGAGAACAGCCTGACCAACATGGAGAAACCCCGTCTCTGCTAAAAATACAAAATTAGACAAGTGTGGTGGTGCATGCCTGTAATCCCAGCTACTCAGGAGACTGAGGCAGGAGAATCGCTTAAACCTGGGAGATGGAGGTTGCAGTGGGCTCAGATCGCACCATTGCATTCCAGCCGGGGTAACAAGAGCAAAACTCCGCCTCAAAAAAAATAAATAAGTAACTGATATAGATATGCAACGAAAACTTACAAAGTTGGAAGACCTGCACCACCTCGGACTTCCCTGTAAACCTGTAATAACTGAGACGATGGTGATGACTCGGGGTGAGACAAGAAACACCTACAGGCACCTTATCACAAACGCATCGCTGCAACTCAGTGGGGGAGAGAATGGGCTTTTGTTGTTTTTATTTTTGAGACGGAGTCTTCCTCTGTCGCTCAAGCTGGAGTTCAGTGGTGTGATCTCAGTTCACTGCAACCTCCGCCTCCCAGGTTCAAGCGATTCTCCTGCCTCAGCTTCCCAAGTAGCTGGGATTACAGGTGGGCGTCATCACTCCCGGCTAATTTTTGTATTTTTAGTAGAGACAAGGTTTTGCCATGTTGGCCAGGCTGGTTTCAAACTCCTGACCTCGGGTGATCCACACGCCTCAGCCTCCGAAAGTGCTGGGATTACAGGCGTGAGCCCCCGTGCCCAGCCATGGTCTTTTCAATATACGGTGCTAAAGCAACCGCACAGCCACATGGAAAAAAATACCTAACCCTAACCCATACTTCACACCACCTCACGCCACACGCCAAAATTTATTTACTTTTTATTTTTCTGAGACAGTCTCGCTCTGTGGCCCAGGCTGGAGTGCAGTGGTGCAATCTCAGTTCACTGCAACCACTGCCTTGCGGTTCAAGAAATTCTCCTACCTCAGTCTCCCAGTGGGATTACAGGCGCCCGCCACTATGCCCGGCTAATTTTTGTATTTTCAGTAGAGACAGGGTTTCACCATGTTGGCCAGGCTGGTCTCAATCTCCTGACCTCAAGTAATCTTCCTGCCTTGGCCCCCCGAAGTGCTGGAATTACACGTGTGAGCCACCCACCCGGCCACCATGCACCAAAATTTAAACTAAGTTGGATTACAGCTTTAAATGTGAAAGGAAAAACAATAAATCTTCTAGAAGGAAGCATGGAAGAATATCGTTGAGAGCCTGAGGGTAAGCAAACACTCCTCAAATAGAACACAAACACATTATTATTCAAATAAAGATTGGTAAGTTGGACTATATTAAAATTAAAGACATCACTGAGAGTCAATGGGCAAGCCCCAAGCCGGAGGACACAGGAGCAGAGCCCACCAAGACCGGCTTCCAGAACATGTGAACGACTACAAACCCGAAAGAGAAAGACACCAAAACAGGGGGAAGCTTTGAGCACGCAAAGAGAGAACATTCAAACGGCCAGGACACCGGCGGGAAATGCCAATTAAAGCCACAACGGAACAAGAGTCCGTATCCACCAGGAGGGTAAAACTCAGGCAAATTCACCCTCGGCGGCAAACACCGAGAATGTGGAGCAACCCCCACAAATCACCAGTGAGAAACTCAAGCGTGGCCCTAAGCACACGTCCACCACGCCACTCCCCACTGTCCATCAACCACCGACCCCCACAAATCACCAGTGAGAAACTCAAGCAGTGCGCGTGGCCCTAAGCACACGTCCACCACGCCACTCCCCACTGTCCATCAAGTATCAAGTGCCTATGTCCACTAACAACCCACACGAGGGCGTTCACAGCCCACAGCTGAATCAACGGCGACCACAGCCCACGGCAGAAAGCGTGGGTAAATGTGGTATCCAAACCAAGGACCAGGATGCCACACACAAGACACACACAACCAGGACATCCAAACCAAGGACCAGGATGCAATACACAAGACACAACCATGCAGACTCAAATGACAGACATCATCACAACGCAACACACAAGACACACACAACCACGGCATCCAAACCAAGGACCACAGGGCAATACACAAGACACACACGACCACGTAGACGACTCGAATGACACAGGCGTTATACCGAGGGGGAGGGGCCAGCTGGCATCCCACGGGATGAAGAAGTTCTGGCTGCTCCGGACAGGGCACCCTCATGGCGGGGTGAGTCAGAGTGGGGAAAGGGCCCTGATGACAGACTCCAAGGCCAGGGACTCTGGGTGAGGGTCCCATGTGTCCCCTCTGACCCTGCCTTCTGGATGTCCCAGCAGCTTGGCTGCGCCTTCCTGGCTCCATCCTCTTCTCACACAGGGCACCTCCCACCAGCCCCAGGAGGATGGCTTCTCTTTTGGGAGGGTCCCTGTCTCCCTGGACTCGGCACTCCTACTGCACCTGCCTATCCCTTCCCACCGCCAGTCTCAACCACTGAATCACCCGGGAGAAGGTTCCTGAGCTAGGAGCGCTGGCCCAGGGCCTGCGAGGGCTCCAGGGCAAGACAAACGAGACCCAAGTCAATGGGCACGTGACTCCATGCCTTGAAGGGGCAAGAGAGGCTCAGTTCTGAACTCTAGTGGGAAAGAGACAAAGATCAGGTCCAGGAAAGGGAGTGCCCTGAAGAGGAGCGGAGAAGGCAGGGGCGCACCGCAACACCCGGCAGGTCTCACTGGAGAACTGTCTAACCTGGCACAGAGCCATCGAACGCTGCCGCCCTGGCTGGGGGGAGACGGCCGGAGTCAAGGGCGGGGCAGGGCTGGGTCAGGGGCATGATGGGCTGCTGAGGGTCTGGCTGCGCAGGGTGACGGAAGCAGACTCTGAGGGAGGGACCGAGCTGGGCAGGGGCAGGCAGCGACAGGCCCACTGCAGCCAAGAGAGCGTCCCACCTCCTCCAACCACAGGCTCAGCTGCCCCAGTGAGCGACGCAGGCAGGGACCTGACAAGACTGTTCGAGGGTCCGACGTCCAGCCAGGCCACTCCCCAGCAGAAGTGGGTTTCGCCTCCTCTCCCCAGGCCCTACTTACTCTTCTCACAGTGCCGGTTCAAGTGCAGGTTGCTGAGGTCAGCTTGGAACTGAGGTCCCACCATGATCTCCTACAAAGCAAGGGCCTGGGAATCAGGACACTGAGGAGCACGCAAGCCGGGCGGGAGGCTGGCTGCAGCGTGCTGTGGCGGGCTCAGGTGGAGGAGCCGCTGCCCAGACCCCAGACCCATCTGTGCAGTCTACCTGCTGATGCCCAGTTCTGGGGTCTGAGGGTGGGAGGCAGAGGCCTGGGTATGTGAGGGGGCTGTGTCCTGACGCCCGGCCTGGCAGAGACCCAGACAGGATGTCGGAGGACAAACACTCTGGGTCAGCAGCAGGGACCCAGGCTCCAGTCCAAAGCACCTGGGGCCGGTCCCAGCCCACCCTGAGTTTGAGCAGCACGTCCTCTGAGAAGAGGCACAAACCCAGGGAGAGGGCTCAGCAGGACCCAGCTTCGGTTACTGTGGCCAGGACGGCAGGCTGGGGAGACGGCAGAGCCACGGCCAGGATGCCAGGCTGGGGACACCGCAGAGCCACGGCCGGGATGCCAGGCTGGGGACACGGCAGAGCCACGCACCTTCTTACAGTTGTTGGCAGGAAGAGAGCCACGCACGGTCTTACAGGTGGCAGCAGGAAGAGAGTCCTCCTCGGTGTCGGAGGAGGCAGAAGAGCCAGGCTCTTTGTCTTCATCAGCCAGGAAATGAGCTTTGGGAAAACAGAGGCAGGTCCCCCAGGGTCCTGCAGCCCGTACAACCCCTCCTCTGGGCAAAGACCCTCCACTCCCACTCTCCATCCACCTGATCCCCAGGCCGTGACCCTCTCCCTGGCCAGACGCTGGGTACACAGATGGGCCCAGGACCCACGACCCAGGATGCACCTTTGAAGAAAGAGGCCTTCCCTTCTAGGCGGCTGCTGCACCGCTGGGCCCCGAGCCCTCAGTTCCCAGGAAAGCCAGCACAGAGGCTTGTGAGGGAGGATGGTCCTGGGGATGCTGTCCCTGGATCTGCTAGGGGAACCAACATGTTCCCTGCTTGTTTAAACCGAATCGCTCTGAGAGTCCAGGCTCACTGGCCAGCGCAGGGGAGAACAAAGCACCCCACGGCTGGGATGCCAGGCTGGGGACACCGCAGAGCCACGGCCGGGATGCCAGGTTGGAGACAGGGCAGAGCCACGCACCTTCTTACATTTGTTGGCAGGAAGAGAGTCCTCCTCGGTGTCGGAGGAGGCAGAAGAGCCAGGCTCTTTGTCTTCATCAGCCAGGAAATGAGCTTTGGGAAAACAGAGGCAGGTCCCCCAGGGTCCTGCAGCCCGTACAACCCCTCCTCTGGGCAAAGACCCTCCACTCCCACTCTCCATCCACCTGATCCCCAGGCCGTGACCCTCTCCCTGGCCAGACGCTGGGTACACAGATGGGCCCAGGACCCACGACCCAGGATGCACCTTTGAAGAAAGAGGCCTTCCCTTCTAGGCGGCTGCTGCACCGCTGGGCCCCGAGCCCTCAGTTCCCAGGAAAGCCAGCACAGAGGCTTGTGAGGGAGGATGGTCCTGGGGATGCTGTCCCTGGATCTGCTAGGGGAACCAACATGTTCCCTGCTTGTTTAAACCGAATCGCTCTGAGAGTCCAGGCTCACTGGCCAGCGCAGGGGAGAACAAAGCACCCCCAGGGCTGCTGACACTTCCCACCAGGCAGATGCCCTCAACTGTGATGAGCTCTTGGCCTGTGTCAGCCCAAGGACCCTTCATCAAGCATCACGACTGCCTGGCAGCGGGCCTGGCTGCGGTGGAGGATGGGGACAGAGCCACCTACATCCACTCCGGTTAGGGAAGAGGTCGGAGGCCTCGTGGGAGGTCACGGACGGGGTGAGGTCGTCAGCAGATGACTGTGTCTCTTCCTCTTCTTCCCCTGAAAGCAAATCCTTTGCTATTTGTTCCTTTAAAAAAAAAAAAAAAAAAAGTAAAGAACATTTTACAGTTTAACAATCTCGCAATATCACTAATGATAACAACAATAAAGACACTGGGAGGGCCCTGAGGCTCACGTGGGGCCGCTATTCCCATTCTGCAGATAAGGAAACGGAGGTGGAGACGCCACCGAGGGTGCACAGCATCGGGGGAGCAGGGATGAGATGGGGACACGTGGGAGCCCACACCCCGTCACCAGAGCTGGAGACAGTGACAGCTGCCACGGGGCACGTGCCCAGAGTGCGTGGCTCTTTCTCTGCCTGTGCATTTGGTTTTAACCTTCTGCAATGCAGCCCTCCCCCGCTCCCAACACCCAACTCTCAACCTGTGACCTCTGGGTATGCAATGGCAGAAAGACTAGTCCTGGGGAGGCCCCGATGTGCCCCTCCACCCACCCAAGCCAGAATGACTTGTGGCCCAGGGTTAAGGCTAGGGTCCAGCCCCATGCCCGTGGCCATTCCAACCCCCGGGGCAGTGGTCACAGGTAGCTACATTCTACTTGTTCTGGGGGCCTTTGTGCCTCTTCTCACTGAACACCCCCTTGCAGAGAGGCAGCCCCAGACCCTCCCACCTTCTGCTGGGGGCCAGTTCCAGGAAGGGCGCTCACTCACCTTGTCCAGGGTCATGTCCGGGAGGTCAGGGGCCACGTCACCACCCTCACTCTCCCGGTCTGAAATGGGGTCTGATGCCTCGTAGCCATAGAGTGCAAGCAGCTCATCGAAGGGCATGTCGTTGCTCTGAGTTGGGGAAGGGAACAGGGCCCCATCAGGAGGGACTGCTCTGGGGGTTCTTGTCCCCGTCCTCTCGCCTGAGCCTCGTTGGCCACAACCAGGGCCACTCTGTCACACCCACAGCAACTCCCCGCATGGCAGCACTCTCCAGCCAGACCTCAGGCCCAGTCTTTCATCCAAGAGCTCCCTCACAATCCCTCAGAGAGGCACCAGAGCCTAGGGGTCACCGGCCAGGGAAGAGGGCACCACCCTGCCCACAATGCCTCCTTGCACAGGGTGAATTACAGGAATACAAGGATGGTGCGACATCTGGCAATTTACTATTGTAATGCCACATCAATATATCAAAGGTGAAAAAAGGTATCTGAAAAAGGCATTTGGTAAAATCCGACATCTATTCCTGATTTAAAAAAAAAAAAAAACAAAAGAACCCTCAGAAAACTACACAAATGAGCCGGACACAGTGGCTCACACCCGTAATCCCAGTATTTTGGGACGCCAAGGCAGGCGGATCACTTAAGGCCAGGAGTTCGAGACCAGCCTGGGCAACATGGCAAAACCGTCTCTACTAAAAATACAAAAATCAGCTGTGCTTGGTGACGCCCGCCTGTAGTCTCAGCTACTCGGGAGGCTGAAGCATGAGAATCACTTGTACTCGGGAGATGGAGGGTGTAGTGAGCCAAGATCATGCCACTGCACTCCAGCCTGGGTGGCAAAGTGAGAATCTGTCTCAAAATAAAAAATAAAAAAGAAGAAACACCGTTGTGATGCTCTAAGCCAACGCAACATGACAAGAAGTAGCAATAAGGTGTGTAATTCCTGGGAAGGAAGAGATACGAACTATCATTCTCTCCACCGTTGCTTTCAAATCCTTCTGTCCTCCCTTGTGTGAGCCTCTACTCCAGAGGCTAGTCCTGCCGGCTCAGACTCTACCCTGACCCCTGTGGGTCACACTTTCAGCTTCCAACTTCCTGAACACTCCCTCTCATTCTCTCAAGATGTCAGCACGGGCCTCCCCTCCACCCCAGCTCCTGCCCAAACTCATCCTGCGGGCTTCAAGTTCACACAGAAATCTCCCAGACTAGCTGGGCGCGGTGGCTCACACCTGTAATCCCAGCACTTAGGGAGGCCGAGGCAGACAGACCACAAGCTGAGGAGATTGAGACAATCCTGACTAACACGGCGAAACCCTATCTCTACTAAAAATACAAAAAATTAGCCGGGCGAGGTGGCAGGCACCTGTAGTCCCAGTAACTCAGGAGGCGGAGGCAGGAGAATGGCGTGAACCCGGGAGGCGGAGCTTGCAGTGAGCCGAGATCGCGCCACTGCACTCCAGCCTGGGCGACAGAGCGAGACTCCGTTTCAAAAAAAAAAAGAAAAAAAAGAAAAGAAAAGAAAGAAACTTCCCAGCCTAGTCCCAGCCCTTCCCCAGGTGGAACATCTGTACCGAGTCCCCCTTTTGTTCTCGCAGGACCCCGTGGACAGAACAGATTCTGTATGCCCATCACCTTCAGGATTACGCAGGCGGGAAGGCTGACGCACTGGTCCAGAGGCCCTTGGGTTGCCTGGACCTCTCCAGAGTAGCCCGAGGTGAAGCCCCTTTCCTAAGAACACTCAGCCGTGATTTCTGTTTTTGGCTTCATCGATGCCTGCACTGATGGTGCAGCATCGGCAGCCGGCAAGAGCCCAGGGCTCTGCGGAAGCCACGGCTGGTGCACCCCTGCTGTCACTGCTGTCACATTCCTCACAGACCAAAAGCAAACACCCCAGCTTCACTTCAGAAGATGCTGGATGCTGGATGGACAGCCGGGCGCGGTGGCTCAAGCCTGTAATCCCAGCACTTTGGGAGGCCGAGGCAGGTGGATCACAAGATCAGGAGTTTGAGACCAGCCTGGCCAACATGGAGAAACCCTGTCTCTACCAAAAATACAAAAATTAGCCAGGCGCGGTGGTGGGTTCCCATAATCCCAGCTACTCAGGAGGCTGAGGGAGAAGAATCACTTGAACCTTGGGAGCAGAGTTTGCAGTGAGCCGAGATCGCGCCACTGCCAGCCTTGGTGACGAGAGCAAGACTCCATCTCAAAAAACAATAAAAGAAGGTGCTGGACAAAATGAGCATTTTGTTAAGTCTCATCCTGCGCAGATGTTTCCATGTGCTGTGAGGGCGTGGGAAGCATGCAGCATGCACCTGCTGCATACCAAAGCGAGGTGGTTCCTTCAAGGAACCACATGCATGGAACGAGTGATGAGGCGAAGAGGCTGTTCCTGGTCGTTTCACCTCAAAGAATGCTGGCCAACTACAGTCGCTTAGACAGGCACCTGGCAGGCGCTGCCTTGTATGCAAGCCAGGGGGCTGTTACTTCAAAGGAAACAGCTGACCGTAACTGCCGCAGGTAAAACTCAAGATTTTGAAAACCTTAGGTTTGACAACATGAACTTGCCAACTTTCCAATATTTAAAAAACTTGTGATAAGGCTGGTGGTGGTATTAACTGTTACGGTCAACCTTAACCCCCAACATGACTATATAGGGCCTTTACAGAGGTAATTAAGGTTTGACGAGGCCATGAGGGTAGGGCCCTGATCCAACAGGATTAGTGTCCTTTTAACAAAAACACCAGAGGGCTCCCTCTTGTTCTCTGTCCACCCTGCGAGGACACAGCGAGCCAGTGAGAGCGCCAGCACCGGAACCCACTCAGCTGGACCCCAGTCATGGACTTTTCTGCCCCTTGAATGATGAGGTTCACTGATACGGTCTCAGATTCCACAACTACTCTCTATAAAACTCCCACTTGATGAGTTTGGCTGTAGCATCAAGGAAGAATACCCACAATTATCTGAAAAGCTGTTAAATACTTACTTTTTTCAACAACAGATCTGAGGCTATGTTTGTACTTCAACCATAAGAGCCTATCACAAGAGATTAATGTCTCCCTTAAAAGACAGAAACTGGCCGGACATGGCTCCTGCCTGTATTCCAAGCATTTTGGGGAGGCTGAGGTGGCAGGATCACTTTGAGGTCAGGAGTTCGAGACCAGCCTGGCCAACATGGTAAAACCTCATCTCTACTAAAACTACAAGTTACCCAGGCATGGTGGTGGGCGCCTGTAGTCCCAGCTACTCGGGAGGCTGAGGCAGGAGAATCACTTGAACCCGGGAGGTAGAGGTTGCAGTGAGCCGAGATGGCGCCACTGCACTCCAGTCTGGGCAACAGAGCTAGACTCTGTCTCAAATAAAAGAAAAAGACAGAAACTGGGTCAGGTACAGTGGCTCACACCTATAGGGAGAAAAACTGCTTGAGACCAAGAGTTCAAGACCAGCCCTAGCAACATAGCAAGAACTCTACAAAAAAAATAAAAAAGTTGGTGAGGCATGGTGGCGTGCGACTATAGTCCCAGCTACTCAGGAGGCTGAGGCAGGAGGATCCCTTGAGCCCAGGAGTTCGAGGCTGCCGTAAACTATGATTGCATCACTGCACTCCAACCTAGGCAACAGAGTGAGAGCCTGTCTCAAAAAAAGTAAGTTTTTTAAAGACAGAAGCTTGGCCAGGCGCGGTGGTTCACGTCTGTGATTCAGCACTTTGGGAGGCCGAGGTGGGCAGATCACGAGGTCAAGAGTTTGGGACCAGCCTGGCCAACATGGTGAAACCCCATCTCTACTAAAAATACAAAAATTTGCCGAGCGTGGTGGCGGGCACCTGTGGTCCCAGCCACTCGGGAGGCTGAGGCAGGAGAATCACTTGAGCCCAGGAGGCGGAGCATGCAGTGAGCCGAGATCGCACCAACTACACTCCAGCCTGCGAAACAGAGCGAGACCCCAACTCATAAAAAAAAGACAGAGTTGGATTTTCACATTGGCTTCTCCGGTCAAAGACATTTGGAAAACTAAAAATTAATTCTTCTCACTAATTTTTTTCTTTTGGTACAGAATTTTTTTTTTCATTTTCATAAAAATATTTATATTAACATGTAACTGATTTATTCATGTCACTTTAAAATGAGTTACTGAGTAAGTATTTTTACATGTCAATTTTTTTTTTTTTTTGAGACAGAGTCTTGCTCTGTCCCCCAGGCTGGAAGTGCAATGGCCCGATCTCGGCTCACTGCCACCTCTGCCTCCCAGGTTCAAGTGATTCTCCTGCCTCAGCCCCTCGAGTAGCTGGGATTACAGGCGCCCGCCACCACGGCCACCTAATTTTTGTATTTTTAGTAGAGACGGGCTTTCACCACGTTGGTCAGGCTGGTCTTGTACTCCTGACCTCAGGTGATCCACCCGCCTCGGCCTCCCAAAGTGCTGGGATTACAGGCATGAGCCACTGCACCTGGCCTGTTATTTATTTATTTTTTTGGGGACAAGGTCTTGCTATGTTGCCCAGGCTGGCCTCAAACTCCTAGGCTCAAGAGATCCACCCAAACTGCTAGGATTACAGGTGTGAGATACCACGCCCGAAAATTTTTGTATTTTTACTAGAGACAGGGTTTCACTATGTTGGCCAGGCTAGGCTCAAACGCCTGACCTGGTGATTTGTCCACCTCGGCCTCCCAAAGTGATGGGATTACAGGCGTGAGCCACCAGGTCCAGCCAATTTATGTCAGTTTTAACTTTTCATATAATAAAAAAGTAATAGATAAAGCACATTAACAAAGCCCCTCGAAGCTCTCAATTTTTTTTTTTTTTTTGAGACAGGATCTCACTCTGTCACCCAGGCTGATGTGCAATGGCGTGATCTCAGCTCAATGCAACCTCCACCTCCCAGGTTCACGTGATTCTCCTGCCTCAGCCTCCCGAGTATCCAGGACTACAGACGTGCACCACCACGCCTGGCTAATTTTGTATTCTTCTTTTTTTTTTTTTTTGAGACAGAGTCTTGCTGTGTCGCCCAGGCTGGAGTGCAGTGGCGTGTGATCTCAGCTCACTGCAAGCTCTGCCTCCTGGGGTTCACGTCATTCTCCCGCCTCAGCCTCCCGAGTAGCTGGGAATACAGGTACCCACCACCACGCCCAGCTAATTTTGTTTTCGGATTTTTAGTAGAGACGGGGTTTCACCATGTTAGCCAGGATGGTCTCTATCTCCTGACCTCGTGATCTGCCCACCTCGACCTCCCAAAGTGCTGGAATTACAGGCGTGAGCCACTGTGTTCAGCCTAGTTTTTTTTTTTT